TGGCTTGTGTTTTTTGAAAACGGAAATCTAAGTTCATACTGAACGATTTCCAACCTGCATGGGGCTTCTGATGAGGAGTGGTATCTCCCTTCCTTCACACTTGCCTCTCCTCCCCCAGTAGCCACCAGACGAAGCAGGAGGTTGCGCAGGGTGGCCTGGCACATGCATGCTCCCTCCAGCGTGGGTCCTGCCTTTTCTCCCTGGCACAGCAGGTGTACCTGGCAGGGAGAGCTGGGAGCTCTCTGCAAAGCTTTCCTGGCCTTGCCACAGCAATGACTGGCCATGGACAGACTCTGGCCCTGCCTGAGCATTTTATGGTGCTGCAGAAAGACCCAGTGGAATCCCCAACAGGAAATTTGGAAGCATTTTTGTTGTTACTGAAGCTGCACTGGTGCAGTGTCGAGAGGGTCTAGGCTGCTAGTTTAGAGGTAAGTGAAAACTCATATTTGCCTGCACCGCCTGCTTGCTCCTCCATCAGCAGCAGCAGAGACAGCTGCTTACTGGCTATGCATGCAGAGAAAGCCCCCTTGCTTATCCCTAGCACAGGTGTCAGGAAAATTTAGCTATGTTGTCCCAATAGAGTGCTCCAAGGGTGAGCCGGAAGGAAGAGCTGGAGGGGTGCGTGGGCTCCAGGTGTGTTTGGTTTTATAGCTCTTCATTGAGCCAACTTTCTATCTGCTGGTGATGCTGGGAAACCCAGCTTGTGGTATATCTGTGGCATGAATGTCTCTGGTTACTGGGAGGTTTGGGAAAGCCTCATGTTAGCCCAATGACAGATAAAACCCTACAACAAAGGGATTGTCATTCAAGACTTGGAGGAAAATCAGGCTCATTACTTCTGATTCCTGAACTTACGAACCACTGCATACATTGGCTCCATCTGGCCATTCTGCTTCTGTGGAACAATGTCACCCTTGGTCATTATTTTATCTGCCTCTGAAAGGAAGGCTCTGATTAAGATCTCATCAGCTTTGGAGCCTGGCCAGGTGCTGATGCGAGGGTGTCACTTGGGTACTTCATAGTTGCCTGACCAGACTATGGGGTATAAAGGGGAAGGCAAGCTCTCTGCTTTCTCTTCTGAGTACTGGTCCCTCTCACTTGCTGTAGTGGACCATATTAGTGCTTTCTCCAGCCTCCTGGTCTGTGCCCTGCCCTCTCCCAGGGGCCTGGAGGCAGAGCATCCCTCTTTCCCATAGCTCCATGCTGTGCCCATCAGTACGTCAGCGGCACCTGTTGTCCCAGGGAGGACCGACCTCTGTGAGGTGGATGCTCGTCCTGCTCTTTTCTTTCTGCCCAGAAATCCTGCCCACCATTTAACAAGGCGATGGGGTAGGGAGAACAGGGAATGAGAAGTGAAGCACAGGAATCAGCAGAGAGAGGGACTGAGGGAAACCTCAGGCACTAGATGAACCATGATTATCAAGTGCTCCAGACTTCCATGACGCTGCCCAAAGAAATCTATTGTGCCAAGGAGCCCAGAAAAATTGGAGAACAGAGCTCAGCCCAGGGCTGAGCTGGCTGTTCTTCCCCAGAAATGTCTCCACACCTGAAGAGCATCATCGACCTGATGGCTAGGGTGTAGGCTTTTACTTCTGCACCCTTCTGAGTTTGCTCCCATCAATCCTGGAAATACATAAGAATGTGTTTAGAAGATGTACCTCTTCGGTGCTAACGACTGTTCATGTTGTAAGCAGCTTGCCCCTTTTGACTCCTGGAGATTGGTGCCACCTCTTGTCTGCTGCTGCTGCTTGAAGGCTGGCAGGAGCCTGCAATGACAGCAGGGTGGCCTGGTTAGGGGTGAGGTGTTCAGGATTCTGTCAAGGATTAGGAAAATGCAGGTCAGTGAAGCAGCTTGCCAAGATGCGTGGGTGGAGTTCTCAAAGGGGCAGAAGGGAAACGATGCCTCTGTAGCCGAGTTTCCCACAGGCAAGGAAAGAGTCTGTGACCAAGGAGGGTAGGAGGCTCCAAGAACTCAGAGGCTCCTCTGTGCTCTCACAGCAATGCGGGTCCAAACACCCTGGGAGTGGTACCGGGGAGAATGTTTCCTTTGCAAGGTCTTGAGGAAAATGAAAATGTTTATGCCCCTGAGAGATGGACTGTGAGGCTTCTGAGGCGGGATTTTAGCAGTCCTGTATAAATCAAAGCAAAACAGTTTCTTGGCTAGAAAGCTGTCACTGTGTTTTTATTCTTTTCAATATGACACAGAAAGTGATAGCTTTCGTATCCAGTCTACATGACAAATTTACTCTGTGACCTTTTGGGTATGCATGTGGGTCTAGATTTCTGAATCACAGTTAGATACCCGAAAGCTGGCATATCCATAATGTAGGATTATTTGAGCTTGTTTTCAGAGGTGCTAATCAAACCTGGCTTCGAGTGAAGTCAGTGGGAGAAGACAGGCAGGCAGGATGCCTCTGTGCTCAGCTGAGATGTTAGTGCATGAGTAGGGTTCTCACCAGCCCCTTGCACAGAGCTGCAATTTGCAGAGGAGAAATGCCCCGTCATGCAAATCCACGTGGTCAGGAGGATTCCCGTGTGGCACTGTGGGTATCTGCTTGGGAAGAGACAATGTGTCTCTGGCCCCACCTGTTCTAGATCCTTTGCATGCATTTGCAAAAATGCTTTGTATTTAAGGACGTGTAAAAAATCACTGACTTCCATAAGGCCACTGTCAGCAAAACTTGTGACCACTTCCTAATCCACATCCTGTTATTTTAATGCTAGCTGGTTTATCCTCAAAAAATCTTGGCTCCTAGCCTATTTAAGACCTGTTGCGAGAATGTTTTCTGTCATTGGTGTGTACAAGACACCTTCCTGTACTACTTGTTTACCTGAGAAGAAATAATTTTTCTTCTAGTATGGTGCCACAATACTGTGTCTCTGAACAAGCTGATCTGGGGCCTCTTGATCTCCCTGAGACATGCTGTTGTTATCCAGCAACTAGTAAGGTTTTGCAGAGCTACAGCTGTGGGCCACCAGACAGCTCTCCCTGCCCTCTACAAATTTCTTGTCTTAGAAGCAGTTTTAAGTGTCAACTTTTTACTATCGAACAGGAGAGGAGCAGGAGATATGTATGGCATTGTGCTAGCTGGGGATGGTTACCGAATGCCCCTTTACTAGTGGATCATGCTCCACTGGTGACAGGTTTCCTCCACATTTGTCCCTTCCTGCAAATCGCAATGAACTCCCAACTTAGCTCATACAACAAGGTGAGTGCTAATAGCTTGTCACAGATGGCCTGGGTTGACTTTGAAACCTTGGCCTCGAGGTGAGATTCTCCATGTGCCCTTGGGAATCTCCAGAGTTTCTACTCAGAATAAAATTGGCTTTTACCAACTGTGTGATTACAAGCAGTGGCTGAATGTGACTGCGTTGTGTCCAGACACCTTATGTGATTTAATTGGAAGATCAATCCTTGAAGTCTTTGCCACGGTGTAGCCCACTGTTGATTGACATCCTTTAATGCTGTTGTAGTCCTAACTACTACTAGTTTTGCAGCCGAACTCTAAGAAGGCTGAGACAACATGAGTGGGATGTAGTTTTCTCTGATTGGAGCCATGTAATGCCATTTTGTCCCCTACAAAGCTCTGACTTGTTTCCGTTTTCCCTGAACAAAGCACGGTCTCTCCAAAGGGGGAAGGTGTGGACACAAACATTTGGGTGCCAAGGAATTTGGAGACCCAGCAAAGGTCACAGCAGCAGCAGTAGTGAAGGGACTGAGTTATGTCCCCACCCTGGAGCCAGGCTGACGTTTGCATGTTTCTCTCCCAGGACTACACCATCACCATGTACTTCCAGCAGAGCTGGCGGGACAAACGCCTGGCGTATAATGACCTTCCTCTCAATCTGACCCTGGACAACCGGGTGGCTGACCAGTTGTGGCTGCCTGACACCTACTTCCTGAATGACAAGAAATCTTTTCTGCATGGGGTGACAGTGAAGAATCGGATGATTCGGCTCCATCCTGATGGGACTGTTCTGTATGGCCTGAGGTAAGTCTAAGGGGAATCTTGGCTGGTCGCCGTCGAGAATGACATCTCATCTAAACTTGCCCCATTTCCAAAGATATTCTAGTAAGGCAAGGACCCAAAAGCCCAGAAGATAAAATGTTGCATAGTTTTAAGTATCTGTTTTTTCTCCAAGGTGGAAATGGTTGTTTCCTTCAGACCTCCAAAGTTTCCTGTGTTGCTATAGACAAATATTGGAGATGGGAATAGTCTGCTTTGACCGTTTCAGGTCACTGTCATTCATGTTGCATAACACTTCCATTCGAAACACTCATTTTCAGTTGCTTATAATTTTCTGCAAGTTTGGCCTATGGAGATGAGACTTCGTTACTCTCGTATCTAAGGCTGAATTTCTGTGGCATTTGAGTCAAATCACTTCAGTCATTTTTGAGTATGAGACAGGAGACGTATTTTTGTACTGTTAAAAAAATGTCTCTTTATCAGAGCAATTCTGAAGATTGAGGCTTGAAAGTTGATATGGCACACACACATGGGCTTTTCTCGAAAAGTCGGG